TTTAGTCCCCAATCTTCACTTCATTACTATCTATCATTTAAGACACCTCATGTGTCATGCATTAGCTACCTAATGAAAGTCGGTGTTGTGCCACCAGGTTGTTTTAGTGAGGTTAAGGAACTACTAACGTTGCAAAATAAACCCCTGGTTGTCGGTTATCAGACAATCTCTAGCTATTTAAAAAGTGCTTATGCACCCAACTCCAACATAAATCTTAGCAACATTGCCAACTTTCCCAGTAAGTGTGGTGACAATATTCCTTACCAGATTAGCATGTGCACTGAATGTTTAAAGTATGTTATTTAGAATGTTTTAAATGCGAAACAATTGGTGATAAAGCATTAGAGTTCTATGAGTGGAGTAGAATGTTATTCGTACCATGAAAATGGCCATATTAGTTAAAATACTTCAATAAAAGGACATCGAATTTAGCTCCAACAACCAATGAGAAAGAAGAAAAATAAAGATGAATAGAGTGTTGTATTAAATAGCACCAATTAAAGGAAATAGTCTCATGATGTTGCATATGTGTTGAATCATTGTGTAGAAAATGGTTTCTAAAATAAACAAGAAACTTGCAACATAAACGATATAAAACAAACATTATGATTAAACCATGAATCTACCTCATTAATTAATAGCAACCTAAGTTACATACAAGATGGGGTAAACATTACCGTTAGTTTTCAAGAAGCTATTTCAAGCTTAGCAAAATCCTTATTCCGTGGAGCTTAAGCAAAATCGACCAAAACCCTTAGGGTTTTCTCTTAGATCTTTCGGTTATGAGGAGGCATAATGAGAGGATGATGGACATAATTTAGGGTTTGTTAATGGCTCATTGATCTTGCCTTCTTTATATATATATATATATATATATATATATATATATATATATATATATATATATATATATATATATGGAACCCTAAGGAGCCTTATTTAGCCTCCAACATTTGCTCAATTATGGTAACTTTACCATAATACAAATCATTGGATTTTAATCCATATATGGCCATCATAATTAATTTCTAATTATTTAATTTAAGAAAATTAATAAACAACAATTTAATCCATCAAATTCATTATTCTTGATTTTTTGGTGGGCCAAGTGTATAACCTATATAGACTCATATAATTAATTATGTCACTAACATGTTGTTTCAATAAGTATATTTCTAACAGTAGGAAGTACATTACATGTTAATTCCTTATCGACATGTGTATTATTCGATTCAAGTTTCAATTATTTGTTCGTCCCATATGAGTTTTGTAAGACTTTTGCCAAGCCTACTATGGTTTTAAATAATGTGTATGTGATGAAAACCGCAAGTAAATAATTAGTAACCATTCATCGTATTTTAAAAAATTATACATTAGAAATTGATGGGGAAATATTTTATGCAAGCTACTACCCATTGGAATTTTTTAGGTTTATTGTAGTTATTGGAATGGATTGGCTAAAGGGTAATCAAGAAAAAATATTATGTAAAAATAGAATAGTCTCAATCATCGCTCTCAATAGAAGCAAATTTATGGTAAGTAGCGAAGAAATATGCATGATTTGATTACGATGGTTAAGTCATACAAGCGCCTTATGAAAGGATGTGATTCTTTTTATGTCATGTATTGGATGATAAAAAGAGTACGGAAGAGCTAATTGTAGTTAAAGAATTTTCCAAATACTTTCCTGATGATTTACCCAATTTCCACCCATAAGGAAAGTGGAATTTCGATTCGATTTTATTCTTGGAGCACCATCGATTGCTTGTACTCCTTATTGTATTGCCCACAAATAAATGTATGAGTTTGATGCGTCAGTTATAAGAACTATTTGATAAATGCTTTATTTCACCTATTTCTTCACCTTAGGGAGCACCCGTTTTATTTTGAAAAAGAAAGTCAAATCTATGCACATGTGTATAGATGATAAAGAATTAAATATAACCACTATCAAGAATCATTACCTCTTACTGCGAATTGATGATTTGTTTGATCAACTACAAGGATCCGACTAATCTTTTAAGATTTAACTATTTTTGGATACCCCCAAGTGAGAATGAAAGAAAACAATGTTAAAATGACAGTGTTTCATAAATTTCTCGTGATGCCTTTTGGTCTCACTAATGTACCAAATGTTTTATGAACTTAATGAATAATGTATACAAGTATTTCCTTTGCAATTCGGTCATTGTATTTATAAATGTCATAGACATATATTCAAAGATTGAAAAGGAACATGAACAACACCTAAAACAAGTAACATATATGAAAAAAAGTACAATTATATGCAAACCTTTTGACTTATGGTTATTGAAATTTCGGTTATTATTACATGTTTTCGTCATGAATGTATTTAAATGAACCAATCAAATAAAAAAGCATGAAATAGAAACCTACAAAGAATCCTATTGAGGTATATAACTTCCATAGATTGGCATTATATTATGTAAGGTTTATTCAAGATTTTTCCTGCATTGCAAATATATTACTTTTTTGACAAAGAAATGAGTGATATATACTTAGGACAAGAAAAAAGAAAAGGTATTTATGGCCCCTAAATAGAAAACTTGTGAAGCACCCATCATTTCCTTACCGGAAAGAATGAAAGATTTAATTTTCAATGGTGATGTTTTCAACAAAGGCATTGGATGTGTTTTGAATCAAATAAGTAGAGTAGTTGCTCATGCTTTTAAACATTTGAAAAATATAGAAATAAGGTACAAAGGTGATGACCTAGAACACATTGATATTTTCATTTACCTTGAAAATGTACAACCATTACCATTATGAGACATAATACAAGTTAAATATGGTTAAGCTCATTGGGCCTGTTGGTGATGATGACTAGTGACGGCAGCGAGGGTGTTGGTGGTGGTGGTAGGTGGTGGTGGCTGTGGTGTCGATGGTGGTGGCTGTTGGCAGAGGCAATGGCAACAACGACAATGATGACGATGGTGATGACAGTGGTGGCAGTGGTGGTGGTGGCGACGCAGGTGATGGTGACGGTGACAGTGGTAGATGGTGGCAGCGGCGGTGGTGGTGGTGAATGGTAGTTGTGATAGCGTAGTGACGATAACGACGATGGTGGTGGTAACAGTAGTGATGGGTGTTGATAGAGGGTAATATGGTAATCTTCCACTCAAACTTTGAAAGAATTCATTTTCATTTCTTTTGTGGAAAAAAAATCATTTAGGAATCCAATTTCATCTCAAAAGGTTGAATCAAACACTGGAATGTGATGAAATTGGATTTTAATTCCGTCAATTTCATTACATTCTACACGAACCAATCATCACAGATTCCTAAGTTTGGAGGCAATTGTAAGTCGACATCGGAGGACTCCTATAAGTCCAAATACTTAATATATCACATCCCAAGAGTACAACCCTTAATAGAGATTTGAGAAAAAATTATTAATGGCTAGGTACACAGGCGGATCCAATGTAGAGCCCGGGATACCCCTCAAAAATTTTCCAGTAGTGTAATACATGCGAGATGGTTTAGATCAAGTGTTACAACAACTTTCTTCTCAAGCCCTAGCTATGGCGGCCAAGAGCGAGAACCTCGAATGATCTCGGGCTTTACAACCAAAAAGAAGGAAGTAATCGATATAATAGTCAAAGGGGAGGACATTTAAGATATTAGGATAAATTACTTTCAGATATTCAAGTCTTGCAGGTGCTAAAACAGTAAAGAAACCAATGTGTCCCTACTTGTTGTTTAGAGAAGACAAAGACAAAGCAGTTTCTGAAAAAGTCATCTTTAGTCCTTAAAGATGCCCATTCTGACGGAATCTACCCTTAAACCGAAATTCATTAGCAAGCTGATTTATAGAATTAGCACAATACCCCCTTGGACATATAAATCTTATTTATATTTAATAAATTGATTTATTTTAATATTTTAATTATTTTAATTATTGTTACTATTTTTAACTATAAAAAAATAATAATGACATACCGAAAATCGAAACAGGCGTTACACATCTTTTTTGACTCTTAAAGCCGCCATCGATAACGTATTTACCAACAACAACTTGAGTATGACTCATGTGAGATTTTATGAATGGTTCTTTGATTTGGAGTTGAGAATGTTAAGACTGAAAATGTAATTACTCGTTTTTTCTTATTGAAATTGTGATTTTTTTTATTGTATATTACACAATTTTATTATTTGGATATCCCTTTACTTTAATCCTGGATCCGTCACTGGCTAGGTATGAAACTAAAAGTTGTGAAGTAGATTGCCAAATATAGAAATTGTGCAAAAGTGATATCCATAACATAAATCCTCATTTGGTTTTTGAAATGATAATATATATATTTTTTAATACCCTATCTCATGCATTATTGCATCTGGTACAATTACTCGTAACAAGTAAATGTTAATACACAACAATGATCATTTTACCTTTAGTGTACTTTGTTCTCGGTGACATGATGAATATATATACCCCTCCATGATGAAGTTCAATATCAAATATATTGTTGTTTGTTTCTAAGAAAACACGATTATTTCTATAGATTACTCTAAAATGTTGTAATAGTTTAATTGACTGTATCTTAGGTATTATAAAAAAAAAAATCCTAATGACCTATTTTATAACAAATTTCAAACGTGGAGACATATCTTAGCAAAAAAATTGGACTGGACGTGCAATTTTTTGACACCCGTAGAGACCAGTTATGTAATTACTCTAAACTTGAATTCTATAGTTAAATTGAGAAAAAAAAATCGTGACATAGCATTTCGTCATGTACGGCCCCTCCCCATATACCCACAAATTGGGGACGGGGCAACCCATTAAATCAAAAAGAGGAAATCTCATAAATCATAGCGGTTAAAATAATAATAATAATAATAACAAAAAGAATTAAACGTCTAAAAACAATAAAGAAGTTATATATGTAACCAGTTTTATTTATTTATCATATCTATGGTTATAGTGAACCCCACTACAATAGAGACACTTTTTTATAAAAAGAAAAAGATACAGATAGAATACAGCGAATTCCCCAACCCCTCTCATTTGAGTCTTCGAGCTGTCAAACCCACCCTCTCTTATCTAATATACAGCGAATTCAAGTTTGGAATTGTCACACACACACACACACATTCTCTCTCTCTCACACACACAGCCAGATTTTTGAAGTTGGTAAGTTTATAAAATATTAAAACTACAACTATAAACCGCAACACCCACGACAAATTAAGCAGAAAAAATAGTTTCTTTTCTGGATTTGCATTATATATCTTTCAGAGAAAGATTTCTGGAGATCGATGAACGACAAAGAACAGTAGTTGTTTGCATGAGAATCACAGAAGAGCTTATCATTAATGGCGTATGGGCAGCATTATCGATCGCCGTTCGGAGACACCACTTTTAGAAAGGTGTTCGTCGGAGGGCTTGCATGGGAGACGCCGGTCGGAGTAATGCGTACGTATTTTGAGCAGTTTGGTCACATTCTTGAAGCTGTTATCATCACCGATAAAATCACCGGCAAGTCTAAGGGATACGGATTTGTAAGTTCCATATTTAACTTCAGTTTTACTATAATCAAACACTGATATTGTTGGAGATTCATCGATAAAGATTATATATATTCATGAAAATTAATTAAGGTGACATATGAGGATGCTGAATCTGCAAAAAGAGCTTGTGATGATCCAAATCCTGTGATTGATGGAAGAAAAGCTAATTGTAATATTGCATCTCATGGTAATTAAGCTCCGATCTTCGGGATGAAATATATACAAAGTCTTCCCTTTTTATGAAGTTATATTCATGTTAAGTTTAATCTAATATGTAGGAAGAAATCAAGGGAGTAGTACAATGACATATAGCGGAGCAGGATCACCGGTGGCTCTTCTGCTGCCGCCACAACCACCATCATCCGTCATGTATCCGCCTTATGGGTGAGTTTTTCAATCATTTCATGTATAAAGATCATAATACACTTTTTGAATGTGTGTTTTATGAAAGTTTAAAAAAAAATTATAAATATTTAAAAGTAAACTTTGTATTTAACCATTACTATCTTATGCTTTGCCAATAAATAAACATTTGCATAATTGTTTCTGTATTTTAAGTAACAAAAACCTATCTCCTACATTAATTTATTAAATTGGCCTGTCTCTAATTTACGTGAATCTTGGACATGTACATAGTAGTGGTAGAGCATAATAAATATGTATACGTACGTTGAGTTGACAACTTGATTAATTTATTATATTTGTGTACTATTGATGTGTATGAAAAGTATTTGTTTAGTTGATCAACTATTCAAGAGTTATAAAATTTATAGAATATATATTTTTCAAGATATAAATATAAAAACTAAAGATAAACATTGTTAAATAAAATCAAAAATAGTTATAGAAGTTATATTATAAGCCATGTTTTTTAAAACTAGAGTCGTCTCTACTTAAATGATTAATCAAGAAACGTTATATTGAGAAATTTTATGGATCATAAAAGGTTTAAAAGTAACTCTACATATTTTGATTGTACATGTGCGAAAATTTACAAATTCATTATTGTTTATATGAGTTGTTTCTACAATGACAAGTTGGCATCAACCTCTGTACACTCATTTAGAATTACAGAGGTACACTGTCGTTTAGAATTACAAACCAATTAGGCTTTTAGCTTAGTGATATCATATCTCGTATGTGACATAAAAGTTAAATGTGAAGTTTTTTTTTTATTATTTTTTTTGAAACGTCAAAACTAATTTACTTCTAATCTATTCCTAAACACCACCTATGTTAAACCTATAAGATCTCATTACCGCTAGACCAAAAGTCTAAATTATATTGCTATTTGTCATTAATATCGATTATGAAGTTTTAATGAACACTTTAATGTTACTTACAATTATTGAATCTTGTTTATGCAGGTATGCAACTTACCCTCCAGAATATGCTTATCACCAGGTATGCGTTCGAAGGAGTTTGTAAATCATTACTAATCACTGCATAAAAATTAATAAAAAGGCTAAACTTTTATGAAATAATGTTTTATATTTTATCACAGTTAAATGGTTATTTATGTCACAATATATACATTTTTACGAATTCATACAATAATACGTTACCATTTGATCAATTTATTCAGTAATGTTTTAGATTTTACAAATTTATGCAACTAACATAAATTTATATAACCATATTTCAATCAATTGAATATTTATAAGCAAACTTTCTATATTTTAGTCCTAAAATTATGGATAGTTATTTTTTATTTTTTTGATATTGTTGATATTATAAAAGACCTTATATATATTGAGATTTTTTCATATTAAACTTTAACTTTTTTTTCTAAAAAACCCATATATTTTTTTCAGATTTTTTTATTTTACCATTTTAGCAAGTTTACTAGTAATCTCTTGGTTTTAGATAAAAAAAAAATTGCTAAAAAAACTCAATTTTTTTTTCTGAAAAAATCCTCTTACCATTAGATCTTTTTCCGAAAAAATATCAAATAAAAAAAAGTTGTAGGTTTTTTGGGATATACAAAAAAAAAAATGTCTAAAACCGAAAAAAAAAAAGCTGGAGTTTAATATAGCGGATATTTGGAAGATTAACGTTAAAGCTTTTTTAAAAAATAACGCTTGAGTTTAATAAAGAAAAACTCAATATATAATTTTTTTTATGATATTAACTATTTTCATGAAATAATTTTGTTGCGTAAAATTGAGAAAGAAATACAAGCATTTTAAATTTTAACCCTGTAATGAAAGTAGAGTTTTACATGAATATGAATCGTTATATTCTACATATTGCATTAAAAAAATAGTACCTTAAGATCTGTATTGATAATTTGATATGAAATCGTAGGCAATGTACAACTCGGCAATGCAGCATGCATACTATGGGCCCACATCTGCACCGTATTACTATGGGCAGTCCCCCACCCAATTAGCTTCACCAAGGGGAGCATTAACACCCCAGGTGCAACGTCTTCAGCAGCCATCGTATATGTACTATCCTACGCAGCCAATGTGTCAAGTCGACTATCCTACGCCACCACCTCCTGTCCTAGTCCTCCCACCAAGGCAACCCGTCCCCTCTCCATCTCCTACTACCGGTAATATATCTTTTTAATCCTATTTAATATATTTTGTTAGTTATAGAATTAAGAAACAAATATTCATAATTGTTGATTCATTTGTTGCACAAAAATTTATTACACACTTTTACATCCTTAATTAATAAGTTAAAGACTAACTAAATTCTATTTCGGTTATCAAATCCATTTATCAATCAACAATATTAATACATTTGTACAATGAAAAAGAAGGCAAACTATTTCAAGCTAACTTATTAATAAACTATCTTATAGGCTAATTTTATGATCTTATCGTATATTAAATTATAATAAATTAACTTATTTCTGTGAAACAGGGTCTTAGACCCCTTCATTTTACCATTTACAGTTAATAAAGATGGAATTTATAACATTGACATATGTATATATATCCAACCATGAACGCATATTTAGATGTTGGGTAAATGATGATGATGATGATGATACATATGCATAAAGAGACATGCATGGGTGAGTGCATGTGAGATGATGAGCTGTAAGGGGCCATATGGGATGATGGGTCAATGGAGGATGATTCCATATTGTAGACCAAAACTTCAGTCAAACAGTTTTCATTGCATGTGAATTCAAGACTCCATTGTCTCTTATACTGTGCATTGTAACATGGGCGGGTCAGGCCATGGGTTAAATTAAACAGGGGGGTTAAAAAAATTAAATTAAAACGACTAAATTATGAAAAAGTAAATGAATTTATATGGAAAAACAAAAATGATAGTTTAGAAAATCAAAATATTAAATATGAGCAGATTCTAAATGTTGTGATATTGTTTTAGGTTCGGACACTCCACGAAATACTACAGAAGAAACCGATGATGCTACAATATCTCCAAGGACTCCAAACACTTGAAACGTAGAAGCTGATGAACTTTATAGTTGTTGAATTTTTCAACCATTTTTTATCTTGTTTTTTTTTTCTTTAATTGAAAACTAACCATTGTTTATGTGAAGGTACAAAAAATGCAGTATGTTGCAAGAATAAATAAAGGAAGTTGAAATGTAAATGCAAAAAATTTTGTCTCATTTAACATCGATCTTTTTGTTTAATAGCACTCATCCTTAAAAATTATTACAAATTATTATGCTTTTATTGCATTTTGTAAAAAATATACAATAAAATCGAAAAACAAAATAGGATAATTCAAAATTAATATTAGTCTTTTTTTTTTTTTTGGAAACGGCGATTTATAAAAGGAACAACAAACAAAACAGAACAAGTCCACGCCTACAAGAGACAGGCGGAGCGAAAAGAAAACAAAACGAAATTACATAGTTTTAAAATGATAGCAAAGTCAATCCGACTAAATAAATCTACCCAAATTGCCCCTAAAGTTCACCCAATTGTACACCTCATTAATAATGTGGTCTGCCGTTTTCGTAGGGATGGTATGTTTTTTATTAAACACCATGTCATTTATGTCTTTCCGGACAAACCAAAGGTAACCGTACATAATGGCAATCAAGGTTCTTCTCTTCTTTGGACATCTACCCCAATTAGCCGCAAAACCCACTAGGTCTTTCACCGAATCAAAAGTCTGCCATCGGATATTACACCATTTTAACGTCCATTGAAGCACCTCAGTAGCGAACGAGCAGCCAATCAAAATGTGATCTGTAAAGTCGAGTCCAGTAGAGCAAAAGTGACAGGAGGTGGGAATGGAGACGCCTCTGAGAGAAAGGGCCATCGCAGATGGAATGCGATCCATACATGCGCGCCAAACAAAACCGGTTACTTTGCGGGGAACCTCATTAGTCCAAATGGTCGGATTATCAACAGCACATGTGGTTTTAATATCGATAATATGTCTTAAATCGTGGACATAAAAACTGCCATCAGTAGACAAGGTAGAAGTCCATCTGTCTGGGGAATTAGAGACAGACCAATTACGAAAACAATCTTGGATTTTGTCCCACTCCTCGATCTCACAAGGGAGCCTTGGCGTTTTTTTTCCATTTCCAGCAACAACCATTGAGGGAAATTCTCTCAGAAACAAGACATGATTTCTTCACATCAAGGGCCAATAGGTGAGGAAATTGAGAGGTGAGAGGTTCGTCTCCCATCCAATAGTCATGCCAAAAGAGGGTGTTAGCACCAGAGCCCACCGAACACTTGAGAATCTTCATGGGATTAATGCCTAAAGCTTCAATATCTTGCATAATCTTACCAATATTATACCAAACGCCTGGAAAAAACTTCTTAGAAATATTAAATAGTGGTTTCGAAAAGGAGTTATGAATAGCACAAATAACCCAACTCCAAAGTGTTGAGTTGTCCGACTTTAGTCTCCAGATCCATTTGAAAAGTAAGGCGATATTGATACTCCTCATAGACCCGACACCGAGACTACCGCGTTCTTTACTAGCCAGGACAGCATCCCATTTTACCCAGTGAATTTTGTTTCTTTCCTCGCATCCTCCCTGAAGGAAACGACGCCTGGTTTTTTCAATGTCCTCCAAGATGGAAGATGGAGCTTTGAACAAAGAAAAGTAATACAGGGGAATGCTCCTAAAGACTTATTTGACTAAGGTTAATCTGCCACCAAAGGATAACTTTTTTGATTTCCAGTTAGAAAGCCTGCCACTAATCTGATCCATAACCGGAGCCCAGTTGTGTTTGCGAGCCATGATGGCCCCCATAGGAACACCAAGATAAATAAAAGGGAAGATGGCCGCTTCACATCAAAGGATTCTGGCACAACTGGAAATCTCATTGTCCGCCACCCCTAAACCAAAGACTCTAGACTTGGGATGATAGAAGGTTTCAAGTTCCTGTCACTGTTTTTGAAATACTTAACAAAACACATGATATCTCTTCTCACCATCAATCATTCCTCCACCGGTCGCCCTCCCCCTTCTAACCGACCACCATAATCACTGTCCACCATACGCACCAGAATATCGACGATGCTCCAACGGTCGGCGACACCTTCATTTCTGATGCACGTAGCCGATGAAAGCTTCTCGATGCTGACCAGTGCTTGCCTAAGCCGAAATCTGCTTGCCTCCTCCTCTGTCCACTGTCGTCTTCATCCACAGGTACGAGAAATCTGTTATTCCCTGAAATAAGATGTCGGTTTCTTTCAACATCTAATTTGATTGAGTAATAATCATGTGATTTTGGGCATGTGGAATCCTTCTAATTTTGTTTTTTTCTCATTTAAATTGCTTGGTTTGGGTATGTGAAATCCTTCTAATAATCAGGTTCATATAGAGGTGGTGATTTCATATTGCACACCAAGTGTTTGACAGAAGTCTTCAAAGAAATCAAAAGTTTTACTGGATCAAGAACAGGGGCTGATGAGCATCTTTAATACATCCACGTGTTTGGAAAATCCCAAACAGTGTATACAGAATGTATAAAGAACGGAATACCACTTTTGAAATTATTGGTAGATTATCTATTTCAACTCAAGTTCTTTGTGAAAACAAGATAAGAGCCTCCTTTTGAATCAAGTTGTGGTGTTGGTGTCATGTTACGTGTCAATGGAAATGATAACAAATGAGTTCAAACACATGGATTGAGTATCAAGATTGCTCGATGCTCAATCAAGAAACTAGAGAAGAAATAAGATCAAAAGGATAGATTTTTACTGTTCTATCATTGTAAAAATATTGATAGTATATGATTTTGTTTGTTGTAGTATTTAAATATGATTTGTGTATTGTAGCATTTATTTATCTGTTATGATGAAAAATATAATTATTAGATGTTGTAAAACTCAAATGAAATGTTGTAAAATTGGTTATTTAAAATTCAGTTTATTTCAGCAGTCTGCAGACGTTAAAAAAACAAATAGACTTCTTATTGCAGACTACAGATGTTTGGTCCACCTCTTCTGTTGCAGAGACTTTCAGACGTGGTCCGCAGACTGCAGACATTTTGGCTTCGGAAAAACAAACATCACCTAAATGTCTAAATGTCTAAATCTACTCTTTACAGGTTCTTATATATTGGTTAAAATCAAAGTCTTTTCACTTGAATAAGCCATATCACTAACACTATTGTAACATCCTCAAAAAAAATTATAAATTATGAAAAGATAAAGAAGGTCGTGATGTTGGAAAATGGTGGAAACTATGAGAAATTTCTATTTATGTCATAATGTGCTCTAAATGTGGATTTTGAATGAGAATAAAGTTTGAATTTGTCATAATATACCTTAGAATTACAAAAAAAAATGAAAGAAATGTGTAATTATATAAGAAATGAGACAAAAGACAAATCGCATTGTCATTCCCTCAAATTAGGGGATAAAAGAGAAATACATAAAAAATGCATAGACAACATGAATACATGAATTGGAAAACTACTTAAAATGGTTATATAATGAATGCAATGTTTCATTATAAAAAGAAGTGAACATAATGTGCTAGCACAAGAGATATGAGGTCAATATAATCCAATCTCTAAAACTTTTCAGGCAATCCTTTGAGGTCCAAAATGCCCACCACAATTGTATAAGTGACAAAATCTAAAATAGAAGATACCTCATGTTGATCCACGCATAACTTAATGATGTGGTATGCATAATATTTCCACAAGTTGGGTTCCTCTTACACATATTTTTTTTCTTCTTACTTGATTTTATCTTTTTGTACTTAGGTAAAATCTATAGGAAATTATTTACCAAATAATTGACAATGCTCGCATACCATGGGGTGGTCATTTGATTCATCAAAAGGTGTTTATATGGAAATGTGTCATGTATTGGCATAAGAGTATCAACAATGGCGAGTTTAATGGGAGAGTTGAATGAGGTGGAAAGTCTATGTGTCATTCAATGGATGAAACTCTACCATTGTGAGATGTCACCTTGGCATTCAATGGATTTGGAGTTGGGAAAAATGAAAGTTTTTAATTCTTAAGTATTTACTATAAATTACATTAACATTCTATTGAACTTTGTAGAGTTCAATGCATTGTAGGAAACAAATTATAGAGTTGTATGGATTGTAGAAAGATGATGTGGCAATCCATTGAACTCTATGGAGTTCAATGCATTGTGGATGCCCTTAGTTCATCAGGAAAGAAAATTTTGCTTAAATGATCTACTACGAGGTTCTCCATTCCATTTGTGCCTTTTATCACAAGGTTAAACTCTTGAAGTAACAAGATCTATCGTATAAGTCTCGATTTTACATATTTTTTCATGAGTAAATATTTTAGATTTGCATGATCAGAATACACAACTTTAGTACCCCAAAGAGATTGTATAGATTTTTCTAAAGCAAAAACCATAACAAGTAATTCTTTTTCCATTGTGGAATAGTTGTTTTAGATACTGTCTAACGTCTTCATGGCATAGTAAATGGCATGACATGCCTAATTAATCTTTTGGCCCAAAACAGCTCCAACCACCATATTGCTTGTGTCACACATGATTTCGAACGGTAGATCCCAATTTGGAGGTTGGATTATAGGGGTGGATGTTAACATATCTTTAAGCTTATCAATTGCACTTGCATGTTTTGTTAATGTCAAATTCAACATCTTTTTGAAGTAATTAACACATGGGCATTGTGATCTTCGAGAGGTCCTTTATAAACCGCCTATAAAAACCTACATGGGCAAGAAACGAAGAAACTTCCCTGAATATTCGTCGGGAAAGGTAAGCTTTTAATAATATCAATTTTTGCCTTCTACTTCTAAACTATTTTTAGACATCACATGACCAAATATAAAATTTTGTCTACTATAAATTGACATTTTTAGAAAATTTAGGATAAGGTCGTTGTCAATGCATCTTTGAATAATTTTTTGTAAGGTTTTTCAAGCATATATCAAATGAGCCTCAATAGACGGTAAAATCATCCATGAATACTTTTATGATATTTTCAAACATACTAAAAATACTAATCATACACATCTGAAAGGTTTTTGATGTGTTACATAGGAAAAATGGCATATGTCAGTATGAGAAGGTGCCAAATGGGCACGTGAATGTATTTTTTCTTGATCCTTAGGAGCAACAGGAATTGATGAAAACCTGAAACTCCATCAAGATAACA